CCAATTTTCATTTTAGCTAAAAATATTGACTTGATGAATTTATAATCTAGGCAGAATTTCATTTGAAGGTTATGATATATGGAATTTGGAAAATACACATTTAAGAGTGGTTCAAATGTGTATTATATGTGGATTTACATATGCGATTTTTCAAAACTGAAAGGATATACACCGGATGGTTAACAGCAGGTATTTTTGCTTGATCGTGGGATTATAGATGATTTTTCCTCTTTTACTTAACTGTATTCTAATTTTTCGGGGGGTGATGAATGTGTAAAAAAGAAGAAAAAGCTCATTCTAGTTATTCTGAGTCCACAAAGGCTTTTTTTGGTTCACAAGGGGCCAAAATCTATTTTCAGTATAGTAAAACTTCAATATGACGGACTAATTCAGGTGAGGGGGTTGTCCCTTAAAACCAGAAGTCCATTATATAATAAAGTAGGTTTTCTGAATGTGTATGTTAAAAAATTGACAAATTAGTTTACCTGTTTTTACTTATATAGACACGTTTGTGTAATTAAAATTAAGTATGTATGAAAAGTTTAATTTCACAGAAAAGTATTCTGTATATATTAAAGTAATTTTATAAATTTATACTGAATAGGTCTAGTAAATGGGTACATTCACCAATCACCATGAGTAAACAAATGCACATGGCTGGGCATGGCTTAGCACATGTGGGAACACAGGCAGGTTAAAACTGCGGTTGGGTAGAAATGTTGGCTGGACACACAGCCTAGGAAGTTCTGCAGGGGAGCTCTCAGGGCAGAGGCCTTGCCTTTTTTATTTTTGTGGGCATAGACCCATGACACATTGTGGTTTTAATTTGTGCTTCCCTAAATACTAATGATGTTGAGCATATTTCTCCCTGCCCATTGGCCATTTGTGTATCTTTAGCAAAGTGATTGTTGAAATCTTTTGCCAATTATGTTTTTATTGGGTTGTTTGCCTTTTAAAAAAATTGAGTTATAGCCCTGGTCAGTTTGGCTCAGTGTTTAGAGTGCGGCCCGTGGGCCTGGGAGTCGCAGGTTCAATTCCAGTCAAGGGCACATGCCTTGGTTGCGGTTTGGTCCCTGCCCCTGGTCAGGGTTGTGCAGGAGGCAACCAGTCTCTCTCACATCAATGTTTCTCTCTCTCTCTCTCTCTCTCTCTCTCTCTCTCTCTCTCTCTCCCTCCCTCCCTCCCTCCCCCCCTCCCCCTTCCTCCCACACTGTCTGAAAATAAGTGAAAAAATATCCTTGGATGAGGATTAAAAAAAGAATTTGAGTTATAAGAGTTCTTTGTATATTCTGGATATAGATTTTAAAAAATCAGATATGTGTTTTTATCTTTTTATTTTCTTAGTGTCATTTGAAGAGCACTTGTTAGTTTGATGAAATCCAATTTATCAATTTTTCTTTTAAGCATTGTACTTTTTGTGTAATATCTAAAAAATCATTGCCTAATTCAAAGTTACAAGGTCTCTATGTTCTCCTCTAGAAATTTTATAATTTTAGGCTTTTTATTTAGATTTATGATCTATTTAAAGGTCATTTTTTTTTGTAATAACTTGTGAGGTAAGTGGTGTTGTTGTTGTTGTTTTTATTTTTATTATTTGTATATGTTCCAGCACCATTTATTGGAAAAAAGCATAACTGTTCTCTCTTCATTGATATTACTGTGGCACTTTTGTTGAAAACCTATTGACCATATATATGATGGATTATTTTTCAGGACTCTGTTTTGTCCATTGATTTATATGTTTACCCTTTTGCCAGTACCACTTGGCTTGATTAATAGTGCCTTTGGATAAACAGAAAATTTAATTATGATTAAATATAGTTTATCAATATTTTCTTTTATGGTTAGTGCTTTATTTACACATATAGTATAAGAAATCTTCCAAATTGTGATCTTGGTACATGGATTTATTTATTAAGGCCTTCAAAGATTTACGATTTTTCAAATATTTCCTTTTGATCATCTCTATATATACATCTTCACCTTCTAGGATTATGGTATCATTCAACTAAAGGGAAAAATCGATACTAGTTGAGGTTAAGAATTCACTTATGGGTTAGAGATTTGAAAACAGAACATAGGAACATAGGTATACCTTCTATGAGTGACCCATCCCTCAAGTTTTTTGGACTGAACCCCTTTGTACAGTAATGGGACTTGTTTTAATGTAACTCAAAACTTATTGATTGTAGCTCACAGTCTTTGCTCTCTGATTAGAGTTGGTAAGTGCCTTTATTCCCTTCCTTGATTGCAGCGTATGTCTCTTTACTATCTGTTTGGATTCAGCCCCTCTCTGTATTTTACTTTGTCTTTTTTTTTTCAGCCACTAGGCTATAGTCCTTATTTGACAGTGTTCTAGTGGTTGTATTGAATATTCATTCCAATAGAAGATTCCAGCCTGGCTTTCAGAAGAGAGGTCTGGGAAGGGGAGGTAATGCTTTGTGAGTCATCTGTGTATGGGTGGCTCCTAAAGCTATGGGTCCTTAGAGACTGTAGAGGGAATGAGAGCTCAGAATGAACCTGATTGAACAACTCCAACATTTCATAATCAAGTACAAGAAGCAGGGGTTTCTTTTTAATTTCTGACCACTTTGTGTCTTCATCCTGAAATTCTTCTTTCTGTCTTCTCTGCTCATTGAAATGCTTATCCTTAAAAGTCCAGTTAAAGAAAATAGACCCAGAGACATAGAAAGGAGTACGGTTCAGACTGACAGCCCTCAGAGGAGGGGGGCAGGGGAGAGCAATGAGGTAAACCAAAGAACTTATATGCATGTGTGGATAACCAATGGACATAGACAACAGTACTGGGGGTGGGGGTGGGGCTGAATCAGAAGAACGGTGTCTAGGGGGAAAAAGAAATATCTGTAGCAAAAATAAATAAATTTAAAAATGTAAAGAAAAAATATGATCTCAATAGATGCAGAAAAAGCATTTGAAAAAAATTAAACATTTTTTATGATTAAAATTTCTCAATAAATTAGATAAAGAATGTACCTCAACATAATAATGACCATATACAACAAACCCACAACTAACATAATACTCAATGGTGAAAAGCTGAAATCTTTTCCTTTGAGATCAGGAACAAGATAAGGATGCCCACTCGCACCACTTCTATTCAACATTGTGCTAGAAGACCTAGCCAGAGTAATTGGGCAACAAAAAGAAATAAAAACACATCCAGATCAGAAAGGAAGAAGTTAAATTGTCTCTGTAGATGACAGGATCTTATATATAGAAAACCCTAAAGTCTCTACCAAAAGACTGTTAGTGCTAATAAATGACTATTCTATAACACAAAATAAAATAAAATAAAATAAAGGTCCAGTTCAAGTAGTACTTCCTTTGAGAAGCCTTATTTTCTGTTAATTTCCTGCCCATTTCCTGTTAATTGTACCTTCTGTCTTCCCGCAGAGCACCACTTTTTACCTCTTTTAATAAAGTCTGCATTTTATTCTGCTTTGTTTGGTGATTACTTGTTAAAATGTTTTTCGATTTAATTTCTAGCTCTTTTTTAGTAGACTGTGTACCTTCTGTCCACACAGCACCAAGCACATAATAAGAATTTTGTAAATATTTGTTAAACAAATGACGAACACCTGGAAATAGATGGTAGTGATGTAGAGAGAAACAAGAAAGGCTTCAAGAAGGAGGTTGTATTTATGTTAGGCCTTAAAGGTTATATAGGATTTCAAGAAGCACAAGAAAGGTATCTCATGCAGATAGAATACAGGATAGCTAAAGGTGGTAGATCTCAGGTGGCTTTGAAATTGTGAGGGGCCTTAAATATGTCCCACGGAAGATTTTTTTGTTCAGGTCAGTAGTCAATGAAATTATTGAAGCAGGAAGGTGATTTGGACAGAGAACAACTTAGACTCTACCTGACATTATGTATTGGGTAGGTTGAGGTGGGGAAAGACCGTGTGTTGAGATGAGTTAAGGGGCTAGGGTATTAGACCAGGAGGGAGCTAATAGGGTATAAACTAGGTAGTGGCAAGGGAAAGGGAAATGAAAGTGTATATTGGCCACTAATTGAATGTGTGAGTGAAAGAAGAGAACCTTACACATTTAGTCATGTCTACAGTTTTAAGGCCAAATAGCTGGAAAAGTACTGGTGTTAGGAAGAGAAACAAAAATGTCAGAAGGAACAAGTTTAGGGGAGGTGATGGTTGAGTGTAAGTCTGTTGAATCAGAAGCGTAGAAGGTATTTTGGGTGGCTTAATGGTGTATTCTCCATAGGCTTCTTTTAAATAACAGATTATCCTCCATTATAACACATCATGTTCTGACTACAGGCACACAGAGTGATTGGAGGTAGATATCCTTATGCCGTATTAAGTATTTCAGTGTACATACCTCTTTTATAGCGCTTACATTGTGTTTAGTTCACATGCTTATTTCTGACTAGGTGGAGCTGTTGGAGGATAAGGACAGTGTATTGTTTATCTTTGTTGTAAAGTAACTGTCATAACCAGGACATGCAGGAAAAGTTTGGATTAATGGATGAATTAGTGGTTCTGAAATACACAGACCTTCTAACAAGTAATTGTTTTGTTAGACTTGACTTTTGCAGTTCTTACAGGTTTCACCAACACAGTCATGATTCTTTTACTTCTCAGTAAAATGCATATACATGGGCTTTTGGGGTAGGCCTCAGTTTGAATCCCAACTCTATCAACTTACCATCCGCTTCTTAAAATTCATTTAACCATAAAATTCACCCTTTTAAAATACACAATTTAGTGTTTTTTAGTGTATTCACAATGTTGTGCATCCATCACCACTATCTAATTCCAGAACATTTCCATAACCTTACCCATACCCATTAGCAGTCACTCCACTGTCCCTATTCCCCCAGCCCTTAGCAACTACTAAGATGTATAATTTTTCTTCAAGGGAAAGATATTAAAATGATCTAAATCTATAGCCAGTTTCTAATAATACTACCCTTTCGGAATGCACTGAAAAGAGGCATTAATTGATTTTTCTCTTTGTAGGAAAGAACACCAGAAAGGGATACCATGGGGCGAACTGCGAGTGGAGGTAAAATTTACTTATCTAAAAATGATAATACTTCTAAAAAAAATTTTTTTTGCCTTTATTGATTTTAGAGAGAGAGAGAGAAAGAGAGATAGAAACATCAATGAGCAAGAACATCGATTGGCCGCTTCCCACATGCCCCCCACTGGGGATTGGGCCCACAACCTAGGCATGTGTCCTGACTGGGAATTGAATCAGCATCCTCTTGGTGCATGGGTTGATGTTCAACCGCTGAGCCACACTGGTGGGACATGATAATACTCTTTGTTATTCATTTGGAATGAGTATCTTCTTGTAGACTGACGTTTTGTAAAAGCCTTTTTAAAAATAAACGAATGGATAAAAAAGCTGTGGTACATATACACAATGGAGTACTACACAGCTGTAAGAAAGATCTCTTATCCTTTGAAACGACATGGAGGGACCTGGAAAGTATTATCCTAAGTGAAACAAGCCAAGCAGAGAAAGGCAAGTATCATATGATCTCACTTATTTGTGGAATATAATGAACATAACAGTCTGAGGAATGGGGTAGTCCCAGAGATGTGGAAGTGGGGTACAGAGTGACGATCCCCAGAAGAGGGGGTGGTGGGGGAGAGATAAACCACAGAACTTGTATGTATGCATGAACAATGGATGTGGACAACAAAGCTGGGGACGGGGCAGGGAGGGAGGGGGAGGGAGAATCAGTGGGCGAAAAAGGAGAAACATCTGTAACAAAAATAAATTACAAAATAAATAAATACAGTAAAACTTAAAAAAATAAATGTTGAAATACTGACATTGGGAATAAAAATAAATAAATAAATAAATGTTATGGGAGATGTTAAGTGCTTAGAATTGGAATTTTAGAACTGAAGTGCTATTAAAGGTAGTTTTGTCTTCCCTTCCTAGTTTTAGAAATGAGAAAACTGACACTCAGGGAGGTTAAGTGAACAGGTTATACAATGGTCTGTGACAATGCCAAATTCAGAATCCAAATCATCTAACTGTAATATGAGTGATTAAAAAATACTCCATCCTTACTTGCAGTAATAAGAAGGCTGCTCACTATCATATGAATATGTCACACTCATTTGCACTCTGTTTTGTGTTGTATTTTCTTTCCCATAATACATATTTCACCCCTTTGCCATCCTAAATTTTGTTTTTCCTTCAAGAACCAATTTAAGTCCTGTGTCTCTCATGACCTTTTCTCAGACTGAATGCTGAATGCTATCCTCTGCTGGTCACAATTTTATCAAATGTATTAGTTTAGCGTAGTCTCTGTAACTAGAGTTTTAGCTTCTCTAGAGCAGGAACCATACCTTTACAGTTTTACTTTCTTTCCTATTAGAAAATCTTTTGGAGAACTATTTAGTAAATATAAAAATATAGTTTCTTTTTACTAGCCAAATTAATTTAAATAGAAAGCCTCCCATATATTCCCCTCAAGTGTTCATGTATCTTGAAGGTTATTCAGCTATAAGCAGAAAGTAGATCTGTTACCGTAAATGGTACACCTGGCATCACTCTTAGGTCCTTCTTTAAGAAGCTTGTCACTTGATGGTTCACGCATCAATAAGGGTAAAACAGCAGTAGATGGAAACACATCAAGTATGGTTAAATCTTTGAGTTCATAATGATCCTAAAAAAGAAAAATTATTGGTCATTTGTGGAGAATGCTAGGGATCCAACTCATTTTGAAAACTAGAAAGTAAAAAGAAAGCATTGATTGTGATTTCTCTATATGATCTGTACCTCAGGGTAACTGAATGGTTGAAGAGGGAGGTTTCTCTCTATAGAATTTTTCTGACTACTAAATACAGGATGATAAAATTAGAATACCTCCATTTTGCAATCACTAGTGAACTAATGGATCTAGGCAATAGCCGTCCAAGGCTGGTCATATCACAAAAAAAAAAAAAAAAAGAGAAAGAACTAGATATTAATTAGGAGCCTGTGAGAAGTACACACACCACGTATGAAGTCATCTTCTGCCTCCCCACCCCCCCAAAAAAGCAAAATCTGAATCTGATTAAGCTCTTCATAAAAATACCAATACCAGTTTAGAGAAGTTTTAAGGACCAGCAGAATTGGTGCAATGAAGAAGTAGTCAGCAGAATCCAGGTTGGAAAACTAAACTGGTATCATCAGCAAAATATTGCTATGGGAAAGGAGACAAAGAAAAAAAAGGAGCCTATAGATCAAAAGACTTAAGAGACATAACAACTATTGCTATGTATGGACTTTATTCATGTCCTGATTCAAACAGACACCCTTAAAATAATTAAGACAATTGGGGAAATATGAACACTGACTGCTTATTTGATGATGTTAAGGAATTATGCCTAATTTTTCAGCATAACAGTATAATGATTAATTTTTTTAAAAAATTATGTAGGGTAGGGAGGGGTATCAGTGGGGGGAAAAGGAGAAACATCTGTAACAAAAATAAAATAATTAAATTAAAAAATAAATAAAAATAAAAAATAGAGGAAAAAAAGAAAAGAGAAAAAAATTATGTATCTTTAAAAGGTACATATTGTAATATATGTGGATGAAATAATAGATTTGGTGAAGTAACAAGTTCAAGCACTGTTCGAGCTCCTCAGCTTGGCACAGACTTTGCCTAGTCCATTGAATTATATTCTAGATTCCTTGTTATTTTTTTAAAATAGTCCTTGCTGATTTTTTAGAGAGAGAGATAAGTCTACAGCCATACCACCCTGAACGTGTCCCATCTCATCTGATCTTGGAAGCTCAGCAGGGTCAGGCCTGGTTAGTACTTGGATGGGAGAGAGAGATAGAAACATTGATGTGTGAGAGAGCTATTAGCTGCCTCCTGCCCGCCCCCTGTTGGGGATTGAGCCCCAAACCAGGGCATATGCCCTGACTAGGAATCAGACTGGGACCTCTCAGTCCATGGGACGAAGCTCAATCCACTGAGCCACACTGGCCAGGCTCCTTGTTATGGTTTAAACTCTCAAAAACATCTATTTTATTTCTGAGGCACGTTAATTTGAATATTTTATCAATCAGCTCAGCTTGTTTTGGTTTATTCATTCATTCATTTAGCAAATCCTTGAGGATGTTATTGCAATGCCAGGTCCTGTTCTAGGCAGTGAGAATACAGCAGTGAACAAAACAGACAAAATAAAATAAAGTCCTGCCCTTTTGGAGGTTATATTTGAGTGAGACATACAATGAACAAAATAAATGAGCAAATTATAAGGTACATAGTATGTTAGGAAGTAAAGTCTTATGCAAAAAGTGAGACTATTAATTATAAAGTTAGAACTGGTTCCTATTAGGAAATAATTTTAGTTTGTAGTTTTTCTGAGTGCTCTTTCAGACTGTTGCTGTGGTCTTCTGGCATTGTTTACTGTTTTCTTCTTTTTTAGATTCAATGAATGTCAAGAAGGAGAATCAGGAGAAAACTACTCAGTCAGGCACATCTGTGCAAGGTGGTAGGTTTTAAAGTAGTTCAATACAACATATTTTCCTCACTCAGTGTTGATATGAACTCTTACTGCTTTTTATATAGTCTCTGTACAGCAAACTGTAAATATAAAATCTAAACAATAAGAAAGGTCAAAAATTGTTTTTTATTTTGAAAAATTTACTTTGGTTATACTTAGAGATAAATTGGTATGAGATTAAGTAAAAAGATAACAATGCATTTCAATGCAAATATTACCAAATTAAAGATATCTAGTTATTAATTACCATGTATTACTAATTTAAAATAACTTGATTATTTAATTAAAAAAAACATTCTAATGTTGGAGTCAATGTGAAAGTCGTTTTGAAGGTCAAAAGACAGACATGTTCTAGAATCCTGGCCTCATTTTTAAAATCCTCACCTGAGGATATGTTTATTGATTTTAGAGAGAGAAAGGAAGTGAGAGAGAGAAACATCAATCGATCAGTTGCCTTCTGTATGTACCCTGACTGGGGATCCAAACCACAACCTAGATTTGTACGCTGACCGGCAATTGAACCAAGACCTCTTGGTGTATGGGATGGTGCTCCAACCAACTGAGCCACCCAGTTAGGGCTGACCCCATTCTTTATTGGCCTCATGACCTTGGGCAAATTACTAAATAGTTTTTATATTTTTTCTTCTCTGTAGCACAATGATACTACTACTTACCTCATGGGATTCTTGTGATTTAAATTTTAAAAATGAATGTAAAGCACCTAATATAATTCCTAGGTATATTATACATGTTCAGTAAATTTTAATTTTATTTATTAACACTGAATTAATTTCTTATGGTAAACAGCATGTGTATAGCACCGCATCAAAGACTCAGGAGGTACATCTGACTTGTAGCGCCTGCTCTTAAGAAAAATGAGAAAATAAGTCATATGCACACAAAAGGCTGAATAAAAATAATAGCAAACTTATTGTGTTTATCAGAGATTTTCAGCAAACCTCTTGCCCTTTCCTTTGTCTTTCTATTGTACCTGACCTGCCAGCCCCACTCTTGTAGTAGTTCATATATGACTTTCATATCCACAGGAAGATTGCCTATAGAGGTAATCCTCATTGAATCATTCTCTGTCAATACTGGGCCTTCCTTATTTTTCCCATTGCCCTTATTTGTCCTTCAGCTCTTCCCTCCAACCTCTAAAACCCTCCAAGAAAATGGAGGCCATTAGGTTAGAATGTTCTTTCTCATCCCTACACATTCCTGTCCATCTGTTTTAAAAAATATAATGGTTTTGTTGAGACATAATTCACATACATACAATTCATCCATTTAAAGTATACAATTCAGTGGTTCTCAGTATATTTACAGAGTTGTGCAGACATCACCACAATCAATTTTAGAACATTTTATCACCCTAAAAAGAAATCCTGTAACCATTTAGCAATTACTCTCCGTTTCCTCCCAATGCCTCTCCCCTCCCAGCTCTAGGCAACCACTTACCTACTTTTTGTCTCTATATATTTGCCTATTCTGAAAATTTCATAAAAAGGAAATTTAAAAAATATACTCTTGAAGGTTGGAACTAGTAACTTTTCAAAGTTCTCAAAATTTTTATTTAAAAAATGAGGTTACTTAATCAAATTGATAGACATCTGCAGATGTTTCTTAGGGCCCTGATCTTAACATCTTATTTTAGAAACCAGTGAGTGACTGTTAGAAGGTAAGCTCCAAGAGAGCCATGACTTTTGTCTATTTTATTAACTGCCGTATCTCCAGTACCTATGTGTGTTTCCCCTATGTTATTAGTAGAGTCTTAGTACACGGGCAACCAAGATGAACAGTTCTCCAAACTAAAATTTTTGCATTATGAATAGAAAGAAAATAGAGTTCCAATGATTAAATCCTATATATGGTCATTAGCTAGTGATATAATAGAAAATGATCATATTATACAGTGCACCAGTGTAGAGGATTTGCTAGCTTAAATTAAAGCCCATTCAGACACAAATGGTCATAGAGTATTAAAAATTTGTGTTAGAGAGGTGGATTAAGTGTTTGCAAATGTCATTGAAAAATTTTACAAATGTAACCAGTTTATAGAAGAGTTCTTTGAGGTATATTAGTTCCCAGTCATTATTTTCAACTTACACTCTTTTCTTCCTGGGATGTTAATTCCTTAATGACATCCTAGCCATATCCCCCCCACCACCCAGTTCATGTTTTTAAAAAATATGTTTTATTGATTTTTTTTCTTAGAGAGAGGGGAAGGGAGAGGGAGAGAGAAAGAGAAACATTGATGAGAAAGAAACATTGATTGTCTGCCTCCTGCACACTCCCTATTAGGATCAAACCCGAAACCCAGGCATGTGCCCTGACTGGGAATTGAACTGGTGACCTCTTGGTGCATGGAACGATGCTCAACTAACTGAGCCACACTGGCCCGGCCATGTTTTGTTTTGTCCCTTTTTTTTTTTTTTTAATGTTCTCCAAGACCATATGTTGGTAGAGCTTCAGTTAGAATCTTGGGTCTCCTGATTGTTGTGTCAGTGCTTAGGAGGTCACTGAAATATTCTGGTTAGTTTAATTTTGGAACCATTGATCTCGGTTTTCACTTTTGAAAAAGCTATTCAGCATTTATAAATTTTGGCATAACTATGACATTTAGTTTTATTATAATATACTATTTATTTATTTATTTAATTTATTTTTTATCTTCACCAGAGGACATTTTTGTATTTATCTTCAGATAGAGTGCGAGGGAGAGAGAGAAACATCAATGTTAGAGAGACTCATTCACTGGTTGCCACCCACACGACCCCAACCAGGGCGGGGGACAAACTGCAACCAAGGTATGTGCCCTTAGCGGGAACTGAACCTGGGACTCTCTGGTCCATGGGCCGATGCTCTAATCTCTGAGCCAAATCGGCCATGGCTATTTATTTTTTAAATAATGTTTTTATTGATTATTTTTAGAGAGAGAGGAAGGAAGAGAGAGATAGAAACATCTGTGGGAGAGAGAAACATCGATTGGCTGCCTTCAGCACTTCCCCTACTGGGGATCGAGTCCGCAACCCAGGCATGTGCCCTGACTAGAAATCCAACCGGGACCTCTCAGTCCATGGGACGACAATCAATCTACTGAGCTACATTGGCCAGGCATTATATACTGTTTATTGAGTGACTTATATATGCTACTTCACTTGATTCTCAGAATAATATCTTGTACCATATTTTTTAAATTCCCCATTTTATAGGAGAAGGAACTGAGGCTAAGAAAATTAAATGACTTGCTCAGGGTCACATAGCACTAAAGAAGCAGAGCCTGACATTCTGTGTGGTAGCACTCACTTTACATCATCTGAAGCGGGCTTAAACACATTATTGTTTTTAATAGAACAATCTCTTAGATTTATTTTTAAGTTAAAAAACAAGGTGTACAGTGTTATGTATGACACATAATATTTGCACATGTATGTATAAATGCACATGCATGTATTCATGATATGCCAAAGCTGGTTCACACCAGCTTGGGAGAGCCATTTGTGTACCTCTCTTTCCAACTTTGTGGTTAGTGACTTCACTTTGGCACCTTGAAATCAGCTATGGTGGTAATATTTATATTCTAGAAATCTGCAAATACTACCAGTAGGCTTTTTGTTTGTTTGTATTTTCCAAAAAGCTGGTTGTTAAACATTTATCAGCACTTTGTTTGTATGTGTGTTTCAGTGTGTTAAATCCTTTAAAGGATATATAAGAGGTTAGTAATTTAAATTCCCCCAGGAAGGGAAAATGTCAAAACCAATGTTTTTATAGGGAGGAAATTAAATGAGAGTATGGAAAAACCTCATGGTGGATGAGAATTAAACTGAGTATGAATTAATAGTACCTTTAATACAGCTATCAAGTCATTTTCTCAGTGTCTTTGCATGTGACTGGCACAGTAAATTGAACTGTTCAAGCCAGGCAGAGTACTGCTTTCTGACCTTTTCCTCTAGCATTATAATATATCATGAAGACTAAGAGAGAGGAAAGTGACAGCAAGAGTGTATAGAAAATGTTAATTGTTTTAAGTAATCCATATCAGTGACTGTACCGATGACTGGTTTACTGCTTTATTCTGCCATCATATTCTTGACACTGGGGTGGAGATCAGCTAGTCAATTGAGAAACAACTCTGGTTCTCAGATTTTTTCTTCCCATAAACTTTGTTAGACCACACACCTAAACACCTTTGCTCTTCATGAAAAACAAAGAAACACTATCACATAAATAGGATGAAATGCTAAAAACACATCTTGAGTATATTTATAGTAGAGACAGATGAGTACAATTTGCTATTACTCTGTAAAATGTCCTTTAGTTGTTTCTAGAATCCACATTTTTAGAATCACTGTGCTGTAGTCCTTATTACATTGAGAAAATCTGGCTTGTAATTTGTGCCAGAGACATTATTATCAGAAAGTTGTCTTATTTTTTATTTCTATGCTGGTATTCAAATGTAGATCAGGAAGTTTGAATCTGCTCTGAGAAAGTATTTTTTTAAAGAGATAAGGAACTAAAACCCATTTTATTCTTGAAAGTTAGTACAAATACTGTATATATTAAAAAAAAAAAAACTATGTTGTATATTTATTTCCAGATGATTTCCATTGGGACAGTTACTTGCAAGAGACTGGATCTTTAAGTGCTCCTGCAGAATTTTTCAAACAGGTATGCCAAAATTCTGTAGCTATTGAATATGTTAATGTAAACTATTAACTTGTTGAAGGGTGTCTATGTGATTTTTAGGCTCAGGTGGTGTGAGGAGATGGTGGGATTGTGGTAGTGCCATTTAAGAGCCAGATGGTCTCTTTGCATTCATTCCTTAAGAATTTCCTCAGTGTTAGGTATGCTAAGCCCTTATGATTGTCCACCTGGAGGGAAAGACAGACATCTAAATAATTAACTATAAGGAGTGCGATAACTCTGTATTGGGAGGGCTCACAGAAGAGGTACTATTTGAGATGGTTGGAATGAGAGGAAGAATATTCCAGGTTGAGAAAACATCCAAAACAAAGACACATGGATGTAAAAGAACCTGAGTGTGGGGATGGCATGGCGTGGTGGGAGCACAAAGTGGGTAGAGGCGATAGTGTAGGAATGAGGTTACAGGTGTGGGGGCTTTTAAATTGTACAGAGCTTTATTTTAATCCTCACCCGAGGATATTTTTCTATTTAACTTCAGATAGAGTGGGAGGGAGGGAGAGAGGAAGAGAGAGAGAGAGAGAGAGAGAAAGAAACTTTGATGTGAGAGAGAGACATTGATTGGTTGCCTCCCACATGACCCCAACTGGGGCCGGGTACTGGGGACTAACTGCAACCAAGGTATGTGCCCTTGGCCGGAATCAAACCTGGGACTCTGATCTGCGGGCTGATGCTCTAACCGCTGAGCCAAACTGGCCAGGGCCTGAGCTTTTATCTTAAGCAGTAGTGAGCTACCAGTTGATTTATTTCAAGGGGAGTGGCCTAATCAGATTCTTATTTTAGAAAGTCACTCAGTTTACATTTTAGAGACTGTGTTTGGGTTGCCTGGAAGTGGGCAAATGAGTAAAACCAGCAGTTGGCAGTGTTTTAATGCTGCATGTCAAGCCAAAGGAGAGGGTTTGAAGATCCCTTTCTTGACCCTTATGGTTCTTAACTTAGCTCACCATCTGCTGTGGTTGTTACTTAAAACGCTCCTCAAGTATTCTGGTAATATAACTGACCATTTGTTTTTCTTGTAGTTGATGCATTTTAACAAAATTGTATTTGTGTGTATGTGTGTAGTCCAAGATTCCACCAACTAATGAATTTAAAGTTGGTATGAAATTGGAAGCCCGTGACCCTCGCAATACGACTTCAACATGTATTGCTACGATCATCAGAGTTACTGGTGCCAGGTTACGTTTACGCCTTGATGGTAGTGATAATAAAAATGATTTCTGGAGACTTGTCGATTCTGCAGACATACAGCCTGTTGGGACATGTGAACAGCAAGGAGACTTACTTCAGCCTCCGCTGGGTAAGGATAAATAGTTTTTAAAAGAACATATTCTTACTAATGTAATATTCAATAGAAATAATTGTAATGGCCATTTAAAAATCTGTTCTCCTGGGCATTCTTGCAAATGGATGGTCAGGTGGTTACTGTGGAGAATGTATGAGAAAGGAACTCATCAGTACCATATGTTAGAGAGTTTCACTAAGTACACATTTGGTTTATGTGTGCTAAAGGTTTCCCACTCCAGGGAAGGACTCATGCTGTCTTCAAACTTGAAATGTCAAAAACCGCTCTTCTAGATTACACATGCAGGTTCAGAAACCCTTCTGGGGGAATAGTTTGTAGCATTTGATGCAAGTCACTTCCTCTCAATATTGTCCACTGAGCCCTTCAGCATTTTTGGTATGGGGGTGAGCATAGGGGATTCCACATTCAGGTTCCAAATGCAAATTTGGGAATTCCATTCCATCTGTAATGGGAAGAAATCCCAGTGAGACAGGTAGGAGTCAGTACCTTTAGGTTATTGAAAAGGAGGAGATGGATGGAATTTACTGGCAAAGGTTTTTAAGCACAAAAGCTCTCCATTTTGACCAAGTTTGTAAAAGGTAAAAAGTGTGTGACTCTAATTTTGGGCAAAATTTTTCTTTATTACTTAGGTGTACCATGATATTCTATAGAAAATAAATGCTTTTGTTTATCATTTCTGCATTCTGAGTGAATGGTGGGTTTTTAAAAAATGGGTTTTTGTTGATTTTAGAGAGAGAGGGAGGGAGAGAGAGAAACATCAACGTGAGATAGCAACATCGATTGGTTGCTTCTATACACACCAGAAACCTAGATATGTGCCTTGACGGGGAATCGAACTGGGGACCTTTCGGTGCACAAGGTGACATTCAACCAACTGAACCACACCAACCAGGGCGGGTTTTGTTTTTTATTTGTTTCTTTACAGTGCTTAAAATGAAGATTCCCTATTGTAAAGCACAATGAGAAAATTGATTTTTAAAAATCTAGTGAAAAATTATGAGAATCAAAATGTAATATATTAATAATTTTTAGTGATATCTTTTTATACTGTTCTTGCTCTAATTGTTAATTATTACTAATTTGGCTTAAAATATTTTGAAAAACTAATCAGAGATGTGTTATTCCAAGGAGATGTTTAAGGGTATGTGTGTTTTCTGCTTTTTGCCTTCTTTTCATATCATTCATGTTTTTTGTTGTTTACTTTATAACATTTCAGAAATCATACAGAATTTTGTATGAGATGTAAGTGTAAACCTGAGGCTTAGTGCTTTCCTGTTTGGATTTTCTCATTTAATAATATGATAATATTTTTTAAAAATTTTGTTTGAAGGAAATTTAGCTATTGTGATTGCCAGCATTTCAAGTACTTTTCAAATTACTTTTAGAGTTTATTTTATTAACTAAAAATATAAAATATATAATAATACACGCTGATTAATGTATGTTTTCACAGTACATATAAAAATACACAATTTCGGCCAATTTGCTCATTAGGTGCTTTTGAATAGTTTGGTTTCCATTTTAATATAAAACGACTTGTTTAGTTTTTCTTTTAAAAATAGGTTTATTTATTTAAACCTTAGAGTTTATTATTTAAAGGATTTTTAAAAATTTTAACATGCAAACAGAAAAGTGTACAAATCATAGGTATACATCTTATAAATGAACACACCTGTATAATCACCACCTAAATCAAGAAATAGACTATTAGCATCCTAGAAGCCCCACGCCAGTCATACCACCATCTTCCCAAAGATAACCGCTGCCCAGACTTCTTAACATCATAGATTATTATTATTATTATTTTTTGGTTAATCCTCACACAATATTTTTTCCATTGAATTTTAGAGAAAGTGGAAGGGAGGCAGGGGAAAAAGAAGGTCTGGAAGTATTTTGCAGTCTTTGTCCTGCTTATGTGGTTGTTGGTGGGAAATGGAAGCTCTCCTGGGTTCCGGTTTGGATCACCTGAGTGTTATGGCCCATTCCCAACATATATGTGTATGTTGGTGAACTCTAGCTAGTGGCGTCTTTAAAATGAGAGTTTCTACCTGCCCTGTAGCATTGTTGCCAGATAATATAGTGGGCATGGTAGCACTGATTGGAGAGTGCAACTGTTCCTCTTGCCCATTTCCTGAGTTCCTGGATAAGAAAGTCATTCTCTGGAGAATAGTACGTGAAAGCTATTTTTAATACCAACTTGCTGTAATATCATAGGGAGACATTTTCATGATATCTAATTTAATTTTTAAAATAGGGTACCAGATGAATTCATCATCCTGGCCAATGTTCCTTTTGCGAACACTGGATGGATCTGAACTGGCACCTGCAACATTCTTCAAGGAGGTAAGAAAGAATTTATAAAGAGCTTCCATCAGCTGGGCTGTAGTTTTATTGGTTTAATTGGGCATTTAAATACTTTGTCTTCTCTAACATGAAGAAGCAAAAATGCGTTTTAAATTACTGGATTGGCAAGTGTATTGATTTGCTAGGGCTGTCATAACAAAATACCACAGACCTGGTGGCTTAAGCAAAAGAAAATAATTTTTTCACAGTTCTGGAGTCCAGTAGTGCAAGATTAAAGTGCCATCAAGGTTGGTGTCTGGTGAGGCCTCTCTCCTCAGCTTACAGATAGCTGCCTTTTTTGTTGTGTATTCACATGGCCTCTTCTCTGTACATGCACAGAGGGAGAGGAATCTCTGATTTCTCCTAATAATGACAACATTTCTATTGGATTAGGGCCCCACCCTTATGACCTCACTTAACCTTAATTACCTTCTTAAAGGCCTTATCCCTAAATAGTCATATTAGGGGTTAGGGCTTCTTCAATTTATGAATTTTGGGAGGACACAGTAAGCCCATAACAGCAGCTTAAACAACAGAAATTTATTTTTTCAAAGCTGTGTAAAGTTTGAGGTCAAGGTGTCATCAGGCTTGGTTTTTTTGAGGCCTTTCTCTTTGACTTGTAGATGGGAGCACACAGTTCAGCCCATAACAGCAAGTCATGAAAAACAACAACAACAAAAAAAACCCCTCAATTAGCCCTGGCCTGTGTTTCTCAATGGTTAGAGCATTTGACATGCACTGAAGGGTCTTGGGTTCAATTCCCAGTCAGGGGCATGTGCCTGGGTTGCAGGTTCTATCCCTCGCCTCTGTTGGGGCGTGTGGGGGAAGCAGCACATCAAATGTCTGGCATCAGTGTTTCTCTTTCTCTCTCCCCACCTCCCCCCACCCCCTTTTACTCTCTAAAAATCAATGGAAAAATATCCTCAGGTGAGGATCTACCAAAAAAATAAATAAATAAAGTTCAGTTATAATTATTCACTAGTCAAAATGAATTAGTACCCTCTCTCTTGACCTTAGATATGAAAGGGGTACTCTACTGGAAGCAGATGTTCATTGGTATTTTTTATTTACCTTTAGAAGTGAAGCTTCCTCTCACTTAGCTATGTTAGTCATCCCTTTGATATTGGAGAAAATGATGATGGGCCAAAAAAACCACTTGAAGGTTACTCGGAGAGATTGGTTTCAGAAGTAAAAGAATGTTAAAAACAGTCATCAGAAAGAATTTGTTATAAGGAAATACTTGTTATATAACAAAGGGAAAATTCCAAAAATAATTTATGCTCTTGAGAAATTGTTGAAAAGAGTACACTATGTTAAGAAACAATAAAAGCCAAGTTTTAGTTAAATTATGGGTCAAAAATATTTCTTTCTCACCTGTTGTCCTAATTGTTTTCTCAGTCACTTAAATTTTATTACAACTATTGACATCAGGAATGATAACATTGATTGTAGTTTTAAACAACTTTTGAAGAAGATTAAGGACATAAGGATGTGACACATCAATTAATATGACTTCTGTGCCCTGGCCAGTGTGGCTTAGTTAATTGTCATCCCGTGCACTGGAGGTTGCTGTTTTGATTCCTGGTCAAGGGTACGTGCCTGGGTTTTGGCATGCAAGAGGCAGATGATCAATGTTCCTTTCTCACATTGACGTTTCTCTCTCTCTAAAAATCAGTAAACCGTTCTTTAAAGAAATATGACTCCTGCATTGCCACAACAACAAAACCATTCTTTGAGTGCAGCTTTGAGCAGCATGAATGCTAAAAGTGGGCTGACCTATGAGCAAGGAACACAGGCAAATGCAAGTCCTTTGGGCAATGTGTAAAGCACATGGGAGAATAGTTAATTACAGGAGATGTTTAACAGTAGTTTTTATTAAACACCTATTAGCTTGGGCTGTGGCTTTAGAAAAGCCACTGAATCTATTTTACTTATCAGATTGTTTTATCAGCTAGTCATAAGCCATGTGTCATATGCATTGTTTTTTTATTTTTAAAATTATAAAAATAGTTCCCGTTTCTGTGGGGGCAAAAAAATCAAACTATACATTTGGCTGGAGTGAAAAATGAGTATCCCTTTATTCCGTTCATTCCTCTATTCTACTCTTCTTTCCAAATTGAAGTTTTATTTGTGTTCTTCCAGACCTTTTCTGTGCATTCACAAACATATGTGGACTTTTATTTTTTAACATAAATTAGAATATATTGTATACATTGTTCTGTGATTTAGTTTTTCCCCTAAATTATGTATATTTTGGAAATCTTTCCATTTCATTTCATATATACTTCAGGTAATCTGTGGATAGATGTTTAGGTGCTTCCCATATTCTTGTTTAAATCATCTACAGTGAGCATTCTTGTACAGAGCTACATTCTTAGAAATGTGGCTCAGTGGTTGAGCATTGACCCATGCACCAAGAGGTCGCCAGTTCAGTTCTCAGGACACATGCCCAGATTGTGAGCCCGATCCCTGAGGGGGCCGTGCAGGAGTCGGCTAATCAATGTTCTGTCTCATCGATGCTTCTATCTCTCTCTCTCTAAAATTCAATAATGAAAAAAAATTAAAAAAGAAGTAGAATTGCTGGTTCAACAGGAATGTATGCTTTAAGTGTTGATGTTTACTGTCAAATTGCATTCCAAAAGGGTGTTCTAAGCTAAGCTCCACTACTGGTGTATGGATATGTTTGTATTCCCACTTATTCACTAACATTGTATATGATAAATCGTTTAAAATTGTGTTAATCTTATTTTGGGAGTTGGGGATAGGGATGGTGTCCCTTTGTTATAATTTTCATTGAACTGATTACCACTGAAATTTTTAAAATGTGTTTAATGGCCTTTTATTCTTCTGTGAATTGCCTATTACCTTTTCCTGTTTTTCTATTGGATTTCTTTTCTTACTCTTACTGATTTGTGGGTGCTCTTTTCAGCCATGTTTGAAACTTGGCCAGAAGCTGTTTTAAATCCTCACTTTTCTTTGGCCCTGGCTTCTGGATAGCCAAATAATTATAAAGGCCCACCCACTTAGTTTCCTAATTATTTCTTTGTTGTGTCTCTTCTTTCTAACCTTACCACCGTTGCCCCTTGTACAAACTTTCCTCTTGCCTGGACTGTTATATAACTGCCTCTGATCTTCACCTTTCCACACAACTGCTAGAAATACCCTACACAGAAGCCTTACCACATCATTCCCCTGCTTGAAACTCTTTTGAAGTTCCTAGTTGCACTCAGGATGAAGTTTGTTAACATGGCCTTTAAGGTACCGTATGGTCTGGTTTATGGCTGCCACTTCTTGCTTTGAATTTTACACTCTAAATTGCTTGTAATAGCCTCCTGATACCATGTTTCTTTTCAAAGCCAGTTATCTGATTAACTCCTTTTTTTTTTAAGGTTCAAATAAGGTATTAGATCCTTCAAGATACCTTCCCTAATTCCCCCTTTTCGTTTTTTTTTTTTTTAATCCTCACCCGAGGACATTTTTTTCCATTTTTTGTTCAGATAGAGTGGGAGGGAGAGAGAGGAGAAGAGAGAGAGAGAGAGAGAGAAACATTGAGGTGAAAGAGACACATCGAGTGGCTGCCACCTGCACTACCCAACCAGGGCCGGGGACAAACTGCAACCGAGGTACATGCCCTTAGCGGGAATCGAACCCAGGTCTCTCTGGACCACAGGCCGATGCTCTAATCACTGAGCCAAACCGGCCAGGGTCCCCCCTTTCCATTTTTATTCTTCTGTAGCACTTTGTGCGTATCTCAATCTTTGTAGGTATTGGGTTATATCATTATTTTCACTGTCTCTGCCTTCTTAGACTGAGTTCCCTTTGAACAGTTAACATGTCTCTGTAGTCTCAGTGCCTGTCATTGGTCCTAGTACATACATATTTGTTAAATGAATGAAGAAAGGTTGGAAAGTACAGAAAGATGAATACATATAGAGGGAGAAGGTGAGTTTTTGTTTTGCACATTTTAGGGTGCCTCTGAGAAATTTGAGGAAGGATGACTACCACCAAACTGTTGGAAGTAAAGTGTTTAGAATTTAGAAACAAGGTTTTGCTTGGGTATGTAGATTTGGGAGTTTTTAGTTTAAATGGTAGTGATAGAAGCCTTGAGTATGAATGAATGAGCTAGTTCAGAATATAAAGAAGAAGAGAGGAGTGTCCATGTTAGAACTCTGAGAAATACCCACTCACTTATATAATGTATAAGTATTCATACTAGGTACTTAATAAAGGTCAGTTAAGGGGAAAGCTGATTCTTTACTATTTGGTGGGTAGGAATTTTATCAGTTACATTAGCAAGAACAGTGTCCATAGATATAGTTAAATTTGTAATTGTGTGGGTAGAATATTGATAGAGCTCATTGCTGGTGGCCTCAGTTTATTACTCTGTGAAATAGGAAACTGACAAAGGCTAGAGGGGAGGATTCATATATAAACCAAATGTCTACTGTGTTCTAACACTGAGGTGGAGAGCTTATTCTCTGGTTGGGGGGAATGTCAGTTAACAAATAAAATAATAAATATATAATGAGGATACATTATTAGCCTTAAGGTGAATGGTAAAGGTTTGGAATAGCTTCTGTATGGAATGCAAGAGGTAACAGCCTAGGGACACATGACAGTATTTTGTAGGGTTCAACTAAAGATGAAGACTAAATATGTGTGGCACTATGTGTAATAAGCATGTGAGACTTTTCTCCAGCAGTGCTCAGAAACTAAGTATATAAGGTAAAGTGGATTATGATATTGAACTAAGATTTGGAGATAACAGAACAAGCACAAGGGGATAGTTGGTTTTGGGTACTGATAAGAAAGTAATGACATGATGCTCTGTAACCTGGAATTGAAAAAGTATGATAGAATGTTAGTGTTTGTTCCTCTTCTTTATCTATATCAGTGGTTCTCAACTGGGAAGGGGAGCACTTTGCCCTCAAGGGACATTGGCAATATCTTGGGACAATTTTGGTTGTTATAACTGTGTGTATGAGTGCTACCTACATCTAATGGGAAGAGACCAGGGATGCTGCTAAACATCCTACAATGCATAGAACAGCCCCCACAGCAGACTGTTCTGGCCCCAAGTACCAAGGTTGAGAAACTGATCTTGATTAGTTTCTTGGTGCTCTCATCTAACTCCTGTCTTTAAATACAGTTTATATGCAGATGACTTTCAAGTTTGTGTTTCCAATCCAGACCTTTTGCCCCCAACTCAGACTTGTATATCCAGCCTACCTACTCAACATTCCCACTTGGATGTCAAATAGACATGTCAAATTGCCCCTCTTGAAGCCTTTCCCATTTCAGGGAGTGGCAACTATCCTAGTTCCTTCCTTGAGCCAGAAACCGTGGTGATTATTTCTTTCACATACTATATCCAGTCCATAAGGAAATCATTTGGCTCTACCATCAAAATATATTCAAAATCCAACCACTTCTTACCATCTCCATTGCTATCAGACTGGTACAAGCTACCTTTATCTCTCACATGGATTACTGCTGTAGACTCCTCAGTGGTCTCTCTATTTATAACCTTACAGTCTATAGTCAACACAGCAACCAGACTATTCCTTTGAAAACAAAGGTAAGATTATATCAGTCCTTTGCTCAAAATCCTCCAGGGACTCTCCATTTCCAAGTTAAGCCAGAGTCCTTATGGTGGCCTCCACAGCTCTACATGATATGACCCTTAATTCTTTCTCTGACCTCATTTCCTACTACTTTCATACTTGCATACTACATTTTAGCCATACTTGCTTCTTTGTTTTCGAACATTTTAGACACATCTGCTTTGGGCCTTGGCTGCTCTCTCTGCCTGGAACACTCTTCTTCTAGATAACTTCATGGTTAATAATCGTCTCTTTCAGTTTTCTCTTTAATATCAGCTTCTGTATGGTGGTTGTCCTGATTACCCTATTTAAATCGCACAACCCCTCCCCTACAATGTTCTTTGGCTCTCCCTTTCTCTTCTCTACTCTCTTCTTTTGCATAGTACTTATTTCTAACATAGAATATATTTTACTTATTTTATCATGTTTCTCATCTTTCTCTTTACTAGTTTGTGATTACTACAAGGATGGGGTTTTGTCAGTTAATATATATCAAAAACCTTCAGTAATGTGTGGCATGTAGTAGTTAGTAAATATGTGTAAATGAATAAATGAAGGTTAAAGGACTAGAATTCTTCAGGTCAAAGAAGTAATTGATTAAAAGTAAGGAAGTAGAAGTTAAGGATAGGTGTTTATGATCAGAGATAGACTCTGGGAATAAAGCTGTAAACAAAAGAATAAAAAAAAAAACCTCCTGCCCTTATGAAGCTTAACTTCTAGTTGGGGAAATGTAGAATAAACCATGCTAAATGTATAAAGTATGTATATATCATGTTTCATAGTTATGTATGCTAAGGATAAGGGAGGGTGAGATTTTAGATAAGTTAGTCAGGAAGGTCTTGCTGAGAAGGTGCCGTTTGAGTGAAAATCTGAAGAAAGGAAGAGAATGAATCCTGAGGTTATAAGGGTAAGAATATTCTAAGCATAGAGATAATACATGTAACGCTGAGATTGGCTTTAGAGTTGGTGGGATTTGGGAAGAAATATCCTTTAAGGAGAACCATATTGTGAGTAAGCGAGGAAGGAAGTTCAAAGAGCATTCTTTACTAAATACCTTCTTGAACAGAATCTTTTTTTTTTTTCAGTAAAAGAAAAGACAATGATCCCTTATTTTACTATTGCTTTTGCAAATTATATTTTTATGTTTAGGAAGTCACTTAGGAATTGATGTCAACAAAGCACATTCTTTAAAAACAATTAAATGTGCTTTGATATAGTACATGATATATCTTTTGATATATGCTTTGATATAATGATATAAATATCATTACCTTTTGTGGACAGCAGAGGGAACCATTTTGCCAACTATCTAAATCTGGAGGTACCTTATTTTGAGATAAAGCACTTTCATTTACTGTGTTATACAAAAATAGCAGTTCCCCCCGCCCCCCAAATAAAGATTTGTGCCCTGGCCAGTATGGCTCAGTTGGTTGCACGTTGTCCTGTGCACCAGAAGGTTGCTGGTTTGAGTCCTGGTCAGGGCACATGTCCCAGTTGCGGGCTGGATTCCTGGTGAGGGGCATGCAAAGGCAGCCAATTGATGTTTGCTCTCACATCGGTGTTTCTCTCTCCCCCTCTCCCTTCCTCTCTCAAATTCAATTAAAAAATAAAGCTTTGTTTTCTTGCAGAGTTTCTGTTAACGTTTGTATGGGTATACTGATGTAAGTAAATTTGAAAAGTAAATTCATGAAATTTAGAAGAATTAATAAACAGTATGAAAATCTTCAGAAAATAAATAGCAGAAGAATGTTTTGCCATTTGAATTTAGTTTGCTTTGCTACAGAAAGTCTTATCTTACTCTGTCATATGACAGTTTAAATTCCTGGGATCCTTATGTGTACCTTGAATGTTTTCTGCATTCTGTGATTGTCCAGCACAAATTTATCAACTACCAAGGTTATCCTTTGTCAAATATGTTCCCCTTTACCCCCACATTTTGTAGTAGACAGTTGATATTTAGTGGCAGGATGTAACTCTAGTTTCTTATTGTTTAGTTATTAAATACTTTGATCAAGCTAACTTTTGTTCTGCTAACTTTCAGGGTGGGTTTAAAGAACCAAATTAAGAATGTGTAAGTAAAAGGACTTTGAGGGCCAATAATCAATGAACTTTCAGATTGCAAGGGTGTAAAGCAGTGGTTCTCAACCTTCCTAATGCTGCGACCCTTTAATACAATTCCTCATGTTGTATGTGGGTGTATCTGCATGTGGGCAGACTCGCCTGGAGACGGATAGAGGAGCGGTGTCTCGGTTCCTAAGACCATCGGAAATATGTGTTTTCCTATGGTCTTAGTCAACCCCTGTGAAAGGACCATTCGACCCCCAAAGGGGTCACGACCCACAGGTTGAAAACTGCTGGAAAGGATAACAGTGGAAAAATATGGGATAATGAGATGGGTTTAAAGGGGACATTTAAAAAAGGAACCAACCTACCAGATATGTTTCTTAAATTATATCTTGGTGAAAGAATTAGTTGAGAGTTTATTTACTGTTCTTGAGATGATTCCTTGGTTCATTAATTTTTTTTTTTAACTGATTGCTATTGGGTCCTGTGCTGGAAATAACATGAATAAGATGTAGTATATGCTTTTGAGAATCTGTTTGTCTCATAGAGGAGTGAACACATTCCAACGGTAGTTTCACAATTGAAGGCAAAAGTGCCTGTTTTAGGTGGGCCTAGGAGTGGGCAGGAGTTAGTCAGGGAAGCCTTAAGAGGCCAAAAAAGCTGGGATTTGGAAGTGAATGAATTGGAGTTGACCAGGCAGATGATGGGGTAGGGTGTTCCAAGGAGTTGGTTGCCTAGGTTTAAAATCTAGCTCTGATATTGTGGTTCTTAGTTATTTGTGCACAAGTTTTATCATCTGTAAAATGAGGATAACAATTTCACTGACTTTATAGGGTGTTGTGAGAATTAAATTAATATATGGAAAACAGTGCCTGGCATATACTAACTAATTGAAGGTCAGCTTTTAATGTTATTTTTGTAGACATCTAGAGGGTAGAACTGGCAGGTTGTAGTCTTTGAATGCAAATATTTAGGGAGAAGGATGCTTTTCAGGCAGTGGTTCTCAGCCTTTGACGCACATTAGAATCACCTGGGGAATTAAAAGGTGCTGATGCCTGGGCCTCACCCCAGACCAGTTTAATACTTTGGTGATGTGGCCCTCAAGTGAGTCTGATGTTCAGTTGGGCTGAGATCCACTGGTCTAGGACTATTTCCAGGCTTCTGGCTTGGAAGACTGGGTTGTTGTTGATGGTGCCATTTACTAGGATAAAATGCAAATGGAAAGAAAAGATACTGCTTTCAACATAGCACTTGGGCTTTCTAAGAATCCTGTTAGCATTTGCATGCTTTAACTTTTGAAACTTAAGTAATACTTTTTTACTGGATTGGATATCATAAATGACCTCAGACTGTATATATGACTTTCATGTTCTTGTGTCTGCATTTTATACTCTGAGTTTAATTTTGCATACTATCTGTTATTGTTTCTTCTTTTTGGACTTACACCTTTCAACATACCCTACAATTTACATATTTATTGGTTTGATTCCCTCTTGTAAAATTGGTTGTTGATTGCTTTTCCCCTTACCCCCACTCAATCCCCAACCCTATTACCCCCACAACTAGAATTTAAGCTCCACCAGAGCAGGGATCTTTGATATTTTTTGTTTACCAGTGAATCCTGAATTCTTGGTACATAGTATATAATACATATTTCTTAAATGAATGAATGAATGGCTGAATTGCTGTCAGGCTGGTTTTGTTTTCTTCTAGGTTCTTGGCTCTGCTCCAGAGTAAGTGAGATGTAGAGCAGAGTTTGAGAGATCTGTAAGAACTGTTTTTCTTCTTGTATTTTATTTATATACATGGAGCTCAATTTTTGGTTGCTTAAAGTTGTAAGAATACAGTTGAACAAATGTTTCTTAATACATCTAAACAATGAAAACATTTTTAATGTTTTGATAGGAACCACCAAAGCCGCCTCTAAATAACTTTCAAGTGGGGATGAAACTTGAAGCTGTAGACAAAAAGAATCCGGACATGATCTGTCCTGCAACTATTGGAGGTGTTAGAGGAGATGAAGTTCATATCACATTCGATGGCTGGAGTGGAGCTTTTGATTATTGGTGCAAATACTATTGCCGGGATATTTTCCCAGTTGGGTGGTGTCGTTTGGCAGGAGATGTATTACAACCACCAGGAACTCGTGGTAAGATAATAAGTAACTACATCTTTTATTTTATTGAAGTTATATCTGACTACTATTGGCATTGAGTTTAGCACTTCACCTACTGGAGCTATAGGCAGAACAGCGAGGGTACTATCCAGGATAGAGAACTGGAGATGAAGACTGTGATTAGAATTCTTGAGGGCCAACCCAGTATCATAGTCTGAATTGACAGTCAACACTGGAGATATGGGCAAAGCTGGAGGCCATACTTGGACCATTGAAGCCTTGCTGCTATAAGCACTTTGGGGTACTCAACTTCCTTTATAGTTGATATTTAATTTTAAATTATACATGGTATTCCGTTGTTTATATATAGAAGATAAATTTTAAAAGGTTGGGCTTAGCAACTATTACATGCATGTTTTACATGATTTTTGGTCATTTTACAAGTTAAATTGATACTTTGATAGTCTTAAGTAAAATCTATACACTTGAACATTTTGACTATGGAAGCCATCGTGGATTAGTATGTTATTTTAGTCATGAGTTTATCAGTTGTGATGCTGTGTTTCATAAGTTGAATACTATGATTTTCTAGATATTTTCTTTCACAAAAAGGTAATCAAAACATTAGATTTCTTTGGTAATTCTTCCAAGGGCTTAGACATACCTAACCTGGTTTTCTGTGCTGGAATAACTGCTGAGGTTTAAGAGGGGTTCATGCACATAACTCATTCATTGGCCTAAGTTAAATGTAGACTTCATTAGTGGAATCAAATGTAAACATACTTAACATTTGCCTCACTAAATTTATTTTTATCAGAAAAAGAAAAATGGGTGTAGAAAATGAGTAGGTAAGCTATGTGGAGGAGGGCAGTACAGGTAAGCACATATAGCTATATTACAATAGTCCTTTCCTAAGTGCAGGACACATGTTACAAAACCCCCAGTGGATATCTAAAACCTTGGATAGTGCTCAACCCTATATATACTGTTTCTTTCCTGTACATGCATATGCTTAAGGACTTCTCTTTGGCGTATCTGAATTGACAGCATCACTACTCTTGCACTTTGGAGCTATTATTAAGTAAAATAAGGATTACTTGAACACAAACACTGTGATACCATGACAGTCGATCTGATAACTAAGATGGCTACTAAGTAACTAATAGGTGGAGATGCTGGACAAAGGGATGATTCACATCCTGGGTGTGTTGGAGTAGGATGGTGTCAGATTTTATCATGCTATTTAGAATGGCATGTGATTTAAAACTTATGAATTGTTTATTTCTGGAATTTTCTACTTAATATTTTTGGACTGGAGTTGACCATGTGTAACTGAAGCCATGGAAAGTGAAACCACAGATAAGAGGGGACTGTTCTTCTTGTAACTGCTGTTAGACTCTTTGTAATTTGGGACTTGAACACATCTCATACTACAATACTACATACCATCATGTTCTTTTTATTAGGTATCTCTTACCAGTTCCTTACTGCCATAATTTTAGGAAGCAGACATTAATGATCGATTAATGATTTTTGTAAAATTTAGTATGATAACAGATCTGTATGCACATGCTAAGATAAATGAGACATAGTCTCTGCCCTCCAGAAGTTTGCTTTATATTGGGAGAGGGATGAATAGAGGGGTAGATTTAAAAATATGATACCAACACCTAAGGCAAGAGAAACAACACCTAAGACAAGAGAAACAAAGGAAAAAATGAACACATGGGACTATATCAAACTAAAAAGCTTCTACACAGCAAAAGAAACAACCATCAAAATGGAAAGGGAACCTACCATAATTGCCAATGATGCATCAGACAAGTGGTTAATTTCCAAAATATATAGAGTGCTCATACAACTCAACAAACGGAAGACAACCCAATTAAAAAAATGGGCAGAGGGCCCTGGCCTGTTTGGCTCAGTGGTTAGAGCATTGGCCTGCGGTCCAGAGAGACCTGGGTTTGGTTTCCGCTAGGGGCACATACCTCGGTTGCAGTTTGTCCCTGACCCTAGTTGGGTCATGCAGTGGCAACCACTCGATGTGTCCCTTTCATGTTGATGTTTCTCTCTTTCTCTCCCTCAATGTCACTAATCATCAGAGAGATGCAAATTAAAACAACTATGAGGTATCACCTCACACCTGTCAGAATGGCCACCATTAACAAATCATGAAACAACAAGTGTTGGTGAGGGTGTGGAGAAAAGGGGACTCTATAATACACTGCTGGTGGGAATGCAGACTGGTGCAGCCACTATGGAAAACACTATCGTGTTACCTCAAAAAGTTAAAAATTGAACTGCCATTTGACCCAGTGATTTCACATCTATGAATATAGCCTAAGAAGCCTGAAACACCAATCAGAAAGAATACATGTACCCCTATGTTCAGAGCAGCACTATTTACAATAGCTAAGATCTGGAAACAACCCAAGTGTCCATCAGTAGATGAGTGGATAAAAAAGCTGTGGTACATGTACACAATGGAATACTATGCAGTTGTAAGAAAGAAAGATCTCTTATCCTTTGAGATGACATGGGGGGACCTGGAGAATATTATGCTAAGCGAAACAAGCCAAGCAGAAAAAGACAAATATCACATGATCTCACTTATTTGTGGAATATAATGAACTAAATTAAACTGATGAACAAAATTGACCCAGAGACATAGAGGTGGGGTACAGATTGACAAACCTCAGAGGAGGGGTATTGTGGGGGAAGAGATAAACCACAGAACTTATATGCATGTGTACATGACCAGTGGACATAGACAACAAAGCTGGGGATGGGGTTGGGGGGATGCAGAGGAGGGTGTCAATGGGGGAAAAAGGAGAAACATCTGTAACAGAAATTAATAAAATAATTTAAAAATATGATACAGAATTAGCAATGTAAAAATAGAGATGTATGTTAGATATGAAGGTGGCTCAAAGAGGTCCAGTCTGTTTAGGCTGGAGGGAGAGGTGGTTGGGTAAAGGAAAGCTTCACGAAAAGACACATGACATGACTATTAAGAGAGGAGAAGGAGTTTTTCAGGAAGAATGGAGATAAAGGTAGAGTGGACACCTCACAAAAGTTAAAATTATACAGTTTATTCTGATAACTGATGAGTTCAGTTTGGGACAAGGTGACTTTAGAATGTGTGGCCAAGAATGCTGTTGTCCTCTAGTATCTGGTCTCCCATTTTTTGTAAGTAATACAGTTTGGCTACCTAATATAAAAACTATATTTTCAACCTCTTTAGCATAGTTAGATGTGGTCATGAGACTAAGTCTTGGTCAATGTAAATAGTGGAAGTTTTGGGTGTTTTTTTAAAATAAGTTTTTATTGATTTTTTTAGAGAGAGAGGAAGGGGGAGAGAGATAGAAACATTGATGTGAGAAACACTAATCAGCTGTGTCCTGCACGCCTCCCCCCCCCACACACACACCTGGGGATTGAGACCGAAACCCAGGCATGTACCCTGATTGGGAATCAAACTGGGACCTCTCAATCCATGGGACGACACTCAATCTACTGAGCCACACCAGCCAGACTTGGATGTGGTTTTAATTGTGCATGTGTAACAGGTAGAGGTAGAAGAGGACCAAGATAGGACCTCATGGATCAACTTTTAAAACAATAATTCTCACAATTGAACCACCCTGGGGAGCTTGTTACAAGGTTGATGATCTGGAACTCAAATCCCTGGGTTCTGAATCAGTAAGTCCAAAGTGGAGCTCAGGTGTTTCCATTGCACATGGTTGGAGGCCCAAACTTTGAGAAACACAAAAATGAGGGATGAGTGGAAGACAAAAGTCAATTTAGGACACTGAGAAAAAGTGTACATAAATGTAAGAGAGTCAATAGGTTGGTTACCCCGACAACAGAAGAGGAAAGATTTTAAGGAGTTAGGTATTCAACACTATCAAATGCAGACTAAAAGTCAAGAGGAGAGCTCATTAGTGGTCTTAAGTAAAAGTGTGGTTACTAGAATTATATGAAAAACCAGATTTTAGAGAGTTGAGGAGTAAACAGGAGATGCAAAGTGTTGTTTTCTGCTTTTAAATGTGGCTTCACCAGTACTTTCTGAGATCTGCCTGTTCTGTTCTTTGCCCCACTAGACATTTCACCAGTTAAAGGGAAATTTAGAGACTTTACCTTGATTTATGTCTGTTTACCCTCCACCATCTATAATATGTCTTAAATGCTTTCTCTGCATTTATTGTGAACAGTGGCATTTAGGCAGTGCTATCTATGTTTGGTTCAATTATTAAGCATAATTTAGAAAACTCAAGAGGAGAAGGAAAGTCTATTATATTTACCTACATTTTTGCCCTTTCAGTTTTTTATTCCCTCCTAATTTTCAAAGATTCCTTCTTTTATCATTTTCTTCTTGTTAGAGAACTTCTTTTACTCATTCTAAGAATTTGCTGCCAGCAAATTCTTAGTTTTTCTTCATCCAATGAAAACTTGTTTATTTTCCCATAATCCTTGAGGGATAGTTGCTGGAGATAGAATTCTAAATTGACAGTTCTTTTCTTTGAGTACTTGAAAACTGTTGTGCAGCTTTCTTTTGGCCTCCATGGTTTCTGATGAGAAGTTTGCTGTTACTCGAACTGTTTTCCCCCTGTAGGTTCCATTATAATTATGAGTCTGTTTTTTCCTTGTAGTTCTTCCAGTATTTACTTTATACTTTATCTGTTTAATGACTACATTATCAGATGTGTACAGATTTTGAACTGTTATAATTTCCTGGTCAGTTGAATCTTCTGTAGTAACTCTCTTTATGGTAACTTATATTAATGTAGCTATACCAGCTTTTGTGTGGTTGGTGTTCTTGTTCTCTCTTACTCTCTTTTTCTAATGTTCAAACTTTATTCTATTCTTATGTAAAAAGATGCATCTCTTGCAAATAGTTGTATTTTGAACTTCTTGGTCACTCAGCCAACCTGTCTTTTATCTGGAACTTTTAATCTATTTATATTTATAGTAATTACTGATATATTTGGTTTTTAATATGCCACCTTATTTTTATGTTTTTTATTTGTTCT